GTGGGTGGGGGGGGCGGGCAGGGATAGAGAGAGAGAGAGAGAGAGAGAGAGAGAGAGAGAGAGAGAGAGAGAGAGAGAGAGAGAGGGAGGTGGGTTGGGGCAGGAGAAAACTCTTTTCTTTAGACCAAAAAATAAACGGAAATACCTACCTAAAGATAAGCGAAAATGTCAATGCTTAGAACCCACAGATAGAGGGTAATATCTTTTCTTTACTCCCAAAGATAGACAAAATTAATTTGTTGTTGTTGTTTGTCCCGGGGGAGGGAGGGGTAAGAGAGACAAAATTGTCTTTTCTTTAGACCAAAAGATTTTCGATAAAGTTTTTTTTAAAAATCTTTAGGCCAACCGTTGAACGCCTCGTTAACTTCACAGAGCTATCGATGAGTACCAATTTCCTGTAGAAAAAAAACAAACTCTCGGCAATATTACCAATCATACTATCAATGATTCGCACGCGTCATTCAATCAGAGAACGATTTTTTAAACACCCTTTTTATCCTCTGACTGAATGCAACAGATCATTTTTCTTTTTTTTAAAAATAGCTCAATAATGTTTATGGAATACTGTGCCACGATCGATCGTACCGGTTCGGTTCGATCCCAATGACGTTTGTAAATGTCTTATAGCTATAGCTTTTTGATTGCTAATCGATACATCGCGTTGTGTGGGCGGCAGGGCTTGCGTGTCACCGATCTGGATGTCGTTCGTGAATGCCCCCGTCTCACACATTTGGATTTAAGCGAGAAAGAGTTCTTATGTGATAACACACACTTACATAATAGTATTAATAGATCCACACACACACACACACACACACACACACACACACACACACACACACACACACACACACACACACACATATATATATATATAGCCAGAAAGTGGAAGGCAGAAGTTGCAGCTAACGAGATCATCTCTGCATTGGAGCATGGGGGACATTGTCGGTCCAGCGCAACCTGACAGATTAGGGCTAGGTAATGGCGACTTTAGACCTTTCAGGAAAATGTCTCAGCGAGACAGAAGAAAAGCTGCAACAAGACATATGCAA